TTCCGACTCGCAGCCACCCCTTAAGACATGCCCGGTAGGATTTCCAAGGCTGCTCCATTCTTCTCCCTCAGAGGGGCTCGTGGGGTTGAACCATCCACCTTTCAGTTACTAGACAAGTGCTTTAACCACTGAGTCTCCATGGCTCTTTTCAGCCGTGCCTAAGAATGACAAAAAGACAAGAACAGAGTTTCATTGCAAATCCTTGTTGGTGTTTCTTATTGAGAGGGTGGCTTGCGGGAAAGGGGAAGGTGGGACTAGGGGGACTGTGATCCTGCTGACAGCAGAGTTCCCTCCTGGGGTGGGCAAAAGCAAGAGGAACTTGGGTTGGAGTGAAGCAAGGAGAGCCCTAGGTTTCCTGCAGAGGAAAGTCCCGGGATTGGCAGCTTGGGCAGAGGCAGCAAACATAGACGCCTGCAGGAACCTCAAACCCAAGTGACCGCAGGGTTTGGCTGGTAATAAAATGCAGGAAGCTAGCAGGATAAGAGGAAAAACATGTGGTCATCATGGCCTATCTTTCGTCGTGTTACTTTTTACTCTTTATTTTTTTAATTTACTTTTATTCCATGATTGACACCAATTCATTGAGAATTTTGCTATGTCCAAATATTTGTTATTGCTGTTTTTAGCTGGCATTGAGTCAGCCCACAGTTCACAGTGAGAACAGATTCATGGACAACAGAGTCGGACTCTTATGATCCCTGGGGTTTTCACCGGTTGATTTTTCAAAAGTCGATAGCCAGGCCTTTCTTCCTAGTTTGTCTTAGCCTGCAAGCTCTGATGAAACCTGTTCAGCATCACAGGAACACACAGTCTTCCACTAACAGACGGGTGATGGCTATGAATGAGGGATGTTGGCTGGGAAGCAAACCAGGGTCTCCTGTATGGACAGCGGTATTTCTACCACTATACCACCACTAGGAGCTCTGGTAGCGTAACGTCTAAGGCACTTGACTGCTAAACAGAAGGCCAGCGTTCAAACCCACCAGCCACTCCTCAGAAGGAAGGTTGGGCAATCTACTTCCATAGTGATACTACTTCAGAAACCCAAGGAAGGGTCACTATGAGTTGAGTCTGACTCGACGGCACATAACAACAACAACAAACCACCGCTGTCCTACTTTTGCCAGAGACTTGGACTCACAGAAAAATATCCTTAGTATACGAAAAATAACAGCACAAGGTAAATGGCAACTGTCATGTTCTAGGAACGAGGGGATGGGGTTGGAGGTGAGGTGAGGTGGGGTGAGTGGGGAGCGGGAGGGAAGGGCTGGAGACCTCACCCTGACCTGCTCCATCAGAGGGGCCACCTCTGCTCAGGCCTCGCCCACCGTCTGCCTGAAGGAACACGGGCTTGGTGGGGCTGAGCGTCTCAGTCACCGAGAGAATACAGAGGAGTGGGTTTATGCATGTAACGTCTTGATTTCTAAATGTTTCCTCTCATTTCAAAAAACACTATGTAGACATAGAATCTAAGATATTGTTATGGTTTGAATTGCATCCACCAAAAATACTTGTTGTACATCCTAATCCCTATACTTGTGGTTAAGGAGCTCTGGTGGTACAGTGGTTGAAGCGTTTGGTAGTTCGAAGCCCTCAACTGCAGCTCTACTCTGTCCTAAAGGTTTGCTATCAGTTGAAATCAACTCAGTGGCAGTGGGTTTGGTTTTTATAATCCAATTTGGGACTGAGATGTCTTTGTTATGTTAATTGAGCAGTATTAGGGTAGGGTGGGTTTTACATCAACCTCTTAGGAGATATAAAAGAGATTAAACAACTAAATGAACAAGCAGAGATGGGGGTAGATTGATGTCAAGACACGTGAAGATGGCCCCAGAGCAGAAGCTCAAAGAGGCAAGGACCTTTCTCTAGATTGGACAGAGAGAAAGCCTTTCCCTGGAGCCACAGGCCTAAATTTGGACTTTCAGCCTCTTAAACTGTGAGAAAATGAATTTCTGTTTGTTAAAGCCATCCATTTGTGCCATTTTTACCGTAGAAGCACTAGATAACTGAGGCAGATGCTGCGGATTGTAGAATGTTCTGACATTTAATGAACTGCTAATAAAGAACTGATGAACCCCTGACTGTAAGACAAATCCCGATTTCAAAGATGTCACAATGTGAGAGAATGTGTACCTTAGAATCCAGGAAATACTGTGTATCAATAGGCCAGACCTCACCTGTGGCACACTTGCAGTTTTCAACCTGCACAACTGTACCTAGTTATTTCTTATGATGCCACTGTAGGGGCCACCAGGAGGCTCAAGCTTGGGTCACATCTATGAACAGTCAAGTCCCCTGAGGGGAGGTAATCCTTCTACCTATATCTAAACCAGGAAAGAGTCAAGGCAGCAAAGAAGAAAATGTGACCCAGTTTGCTTCTGTGGGTCACCCTATCACTAATGGTGATACCAGGGTCCTTGAGATGGTGGTTCCATAGGCATGGGATGGGGCTTTGCATTCTGATCCCTGCCAGGGATGGGGGCAGCTAGGAGAGGTCTCAGGCTCACATTCATACAAGTCCAGAGGAGTGAAGGCACTGGCCCAATGCCACACAGCTGGGCAGAGTAGAGTCAGGACAAGGACCCAGTCCTTCTCTCCCCATGCCACTGTGTCTTCTTCTGCTGACTGTAAAAATGTCTGCCCTCTGCCCCAAGTGGGCTGGAGGCTCCTGACTCACCTTCTCCTGGGCTGACAGTGGGGCTGGGGGGCATCTGGGCCCCTTCCTTGTTGCACCCCCTTGAGGTCCTGGTTGCTGGACTTGCCCCAGAAAGAACACCCTTATTTCATTCACAAGACTTTTAAATTTTATTAGTAAAATACAAAATGGCATAGACATTGGTGATGAGGATTGGAAACGCAAAAGGATCAACCAACTCCTCCCACAGTCCTCCCAAAATTGTCCTTGTCCATGTCCTTCTCGGAGGAACTAAGAAGTCTATGGAAGGGGCACCAGCTGCCCCCAGCTTCTTTTTCACAAAGTAGGGGTTCCCCATGGCTCCATCCTTAGAAGGCTCTCCTGGCCTGGAGGAGCCTGAGTGAAGTGTGGTCAGCCCTGCTCTCCCCTTCTCTGGGCTGTCTGAGTGACCCCGAGCTTCACAAACACCCTGTGTCTGGCCCAGAAGATGGTGCAGGAACTGCAGCCAGACAGAGGAGGCCCCTCTTCTGTGGACTGCAGCCTGTACTCTTCCTCTGAGCGTCCAGTCCCATCTGTGAAGAGTGTGGCACCCTGGGTGAAGCTCAGCTCATGAGGCTCCTCAGTTGGAGGGAAGGGTCCCTCATGAGGGCAATGGGGGTGCTACCACAAGGGACCCTGAGGGGCAAGGTCTGTATGTCCAACTCTGCCCAGTGGACGGTGGCCAGCCCAGGCAGTCTCCAGCCCACGTGGGTGTGCTGAGCCCTCAGCAGCCAAATAGGGCACCCCTGACTCATACTCACAACTTCCCTCCCCAGAGTCCCTTTCAGAAAAAAATATGGGAACCTCAGGTTCCAGGATCTCCTGGAAACTCATGGGAATTCCTAGCCCTGCCTACAGTGAAGAAGAGTATCTTCAAGTGTAATTGTGAGGCTGGCACAGGGTCAGGCAGTGTTTCGTTCGGTTGTACATAGGGTCGCTATGAGTTGGAGCCAACTTGATGGCACCTAACAACAGTAACAAAAGAATGGTATTTCCAGGAGTGAGAGAGGTGGAAGGGGAACCCAGGCTGCAGAGACCAATGAGCAAACACTGGACCCACGGTGTGTGGGACCAGAGGACACAGAGTCCAGCCACTTGTACAAGCAGCATCAGGGGTGTGGCTGCTCCCACAGCTTTTTCCTTCCATGGAGGCCTCAGCCTCTCAGGGAGTCTGAAGACCCGCCCCTCCTTCCTCAGCTAATCCCTCTGGCAGGGTGCAAAGCTCAAGGTTGACTCAGCGTCAAGGAAGGGGCCGTTCCAAGTGGAGTCCTGAGCCCTCAAGTACCATAGCCCAGCCCAGAGTGTATACCTTTCCAACACGGTGGGTCCTTGTACTGTCTTGCAGGCCCTCCAGATCACAGGGTCCAAGTGTGACAATGGAATTGATTGGCTAAGTTACTCTGTTGACAAAGATTATGAGGCTACATCCAGCGTTGAGGGAGGAAAGGGTATCTGGATTGATTAGTGATGCCTGCCAGGGGCACATGTTCATTACCACAGATCACCACCTCTTACCAAATCCAACTATTTCCTTTCACAGGCGGAAACTAGAGGCACAGAAAAGGGAAAGGGGCTGCCCTCTGTCAAGTGAATGCCTTGTGGGGCTGATGGTGGCCTGTATCACAAGCTTCAGCCTTCACATTCATAGTCAATGTCCCTTCATTGCACAGTATAGACCAAGAAGGAAGAGTCACACCGTCAGACACTTCATCTTCTTCCAATGCCTGATGGTCAAGGAGTGCACAGCCATGGCTGGCAAACATCCAGGAAACACCACACTAGCCTCATGCAAAAAAAAAAAAAAAAAGACATGTCCCCGGCGGGGGGTGGGCTCTGTATAGGGAACAGGGAGAGATAGCACCGCAAGTGGCCGGGGGGGACTGGCGACTGCAGCGGGACCGAGACACGATGAGTCTGAGGGAGCAGGCAGAGGGCCTGGCCTGAGGTTCATTTGTCAGATGGGGGTAAGCATAGTCCCCGCATGAGGGCATGGGTCTGAGGGGCTAGGCATTCAATAAATAATTGTTCAGGGGGCTGGGACCATATCAAAGGGAACCTCTAGCCAGCCAGCAGCAGAGGGGACTTTTCTGGATTGGGAATATCAGAGTGAGTTGTGGAAGCCAACCTTTGCCCTATTAAGTCAAGAATGGTCAAGGGTGGTCTCCCGTGGTATTCCCAGGAGCTGGGAGCCACCCCAACTGGAGGATCCTGCCTCCCTGCTCTGGTCTACCCAGCTCCAGCCAGGCCCTTGGATGAAAGTGGTATGAGGAAGGGGGACCTAGGCAACTGTTTGAGTCAAACAACTGGATGGAGGAAGGTGGACAGCTCACACTGGCACCAGGACGTATGAGTTACTGCCACAGCTCCGGGGGACATAGCGAAGCCCATCCACCATCTCCCCCGCCATCTTGCGGGAGCAGCCCTGAAGACTCTGGTAGGCAAACATGGCCACCCCTAGGCAAAACAGGAGGCCAAGGAAGGCCAGCAGCCCCACTGCCTGCCTCCGGGTGGCTGCCTGGGAGTCAGGGACAGGAGTGATGATGACACCCAGCCTCTGGGGGTCCATAGTGGCATGAATTGGCTCCTCAGCCTTGGAGGCCCAGCTGCCTTCAGTCCCTGGCTCCCTGCTGGGGGCCTCGTCAGAGGAGACGGAGACCACAGAAGCATGGGCTGTGCTGCCAGGCCCCCAGTCCAGGAAAGCATCCGTGTGAGCTGTAATGGGGCCCATCTCCTCGGACTCTGGAGAGTTCTCTGGCATGGGGCTCTGTTCCTTGACCCACACAGGTTGGCCTTCAGATCCAACGTTGTCCTCAGGGGCTGAGTATGAAATGGTGGGGGCCTCAATGGAGGGGCCCTGTGAGGAGGGGGCCTCGGTGGATGGGACCTCTGAGGGGACTTCAGAGGCCCCTCCATCTGCCCAGAGGCCTGCCCCAGGTTGGGAGGCAGTAGAACTCTGCCCTTCTACCGCAGTGGAGATGGTGGTGGAAATGGCAGCCACAGTGAGAAGCTCAGTTACCTCAGGCCCAGCTGGAGGCCCTTCACCCTCAGCCTTTGAGGCTGAGGGGGACCTGGTCCCTGAAGAACCAGCCACTCCCGTTGGCAGCCCTGGGGAAGTCCCCAAGGCCCTCTGTGCCTCCTGGGAAGGAGTCAGCTCCAGGCTACTGCTCTCCCCTGTAGCGTCAGCCTCTGACACAGCATACTGGTACATTCCCCTTGTGGCTGGGGTTGTCCTGGGCTCACCCACGCCGATTTGCTTCTCAAACGTGCCACCATTTTGGGTCAGAGCAGCAGCTCGGCGGTCCAGTTGTGCCATGGCTTCCTGGACCCATTTCTCCGCTGGGTCAGCACAGAACAATTTATGCCGCCTGGTCTCCAATCTACAAGGGAGGAAGATAGAGAACCAGTGATGCCAGGGGGAAGAACCCAGGCCAGGGTGGACAGAGCTGGCTCAGGATCCTGCCTCCACTGCTTATTAGCTAACTCCCTTCACTCCCTGAGCCTGTTTCCTCACCTGAGAATGGAGGAGACAAGGACACCCACCTTCTATGGGATTGCCATGAATTGGAACCAACTCAATGGCATGGCAATGGGCTTGAGTTTTTCGGTAGGGTGACCAGCTGTTCTGTGTGGCTTCTCAGGACTTGGGACTTGTAGTTTTAAAACTGGGAAAGTCTCAGGCAAACTAGGGTGAGTTGGTTGCCCTACTGTGTCGTTGTAAAAACGTACTTATGTAGATCACCTGGCTCAGCATAAGAGCCCGGCAATAGTTGAGAATAATGACCACGTTGATGATGACATCACTGCCATTAAGGTCGGGGCACTGGGCTGTAGGTCTCCTGATTGGAGGGACTTCACGGGTGTTGTCCTTCCAGGTATGGGACCAGGGAGCTCAGTGATGAAGCCTCCAGCTCTAGACAAGACCTATGTCACAACGTCTTCTTCATCCTTTCCCTTGTTTCTGTAACTCGAAGCTGCCCTCTGGGCCCTACACTTCCTCTCCTGTGTATGCCCTTGGGCTGCAAGGGCACCTAGTGAGCTCGAGCCATATATATGGCGGCCCTGTTGGGGCCCCCCCATTCCAAACCTTGAGCTTCCTCTGAAGCTACAGAAGAGAGTGACTGGTTCACTGCCAAGGCCACAGCTCAGAGCTGACCAGAGCCCTTGCTCCACACCACAGCTGCGCAAGGTATTTTGCCTGTGTTTAAACCTCACACCCATTCTGCATAGTGGATCCTACATTCATCCCCATTTTACAGATGAGCAAGCGGAGGCTCAGGGAGGAAGCGTAAATGTGCCTGGCTCCAGTATGCTGGGAAGCCAGAGAGGCCCAGGAAGCAAGTGTGACCCTGTGAGCTCCTGCTGCCCTCCTCCAGGGGTTTCCCCTCCATTTCACCTAGAAAGAAGAAGCTAGTGTTTAGGGGAGCCTGAGGGAAGTGAACCTTGATGGGTGAGCAGAGAGGTCGGGCAGGAGCACACACCGCATTTTGCCTCTCCTAGAAACCCACTATCTAGGAGAGGAAGCACTGGGCTTCCTTCAGCTGGGCTCGACTACAAAGGACCTCTGGTCATTTCCTGCTGCCAGGATCCTGGACCAAAACCAGTCCTGGGAAAGTCCTCGGGCTGGGCGATTGCACAGTGCCCAGGAGGAGCCACAGGGTGAGTGGATCACCAAGAGGACAGGTTCCCAGCGGCCAGAGGGAAAGACCTGAGCTTGGTGGCTTCTGGGCTCAGCTTGGTCCCTCCCTGAAGTTTCCTAGGGGTTCTCCAGGGCTCGGTTTCCTCATCTTTCAAAGGGAGACAGTGGTCTCTGTCTTTCCTATTGTCTGTAGCTTCCAGGCACCCTGACAACCACTTTAGTTACATCTTCTCCCTCCATCCTCCCAACTTCTCATTTTACAGATAAAGACACTTAAGCTCAGAAGGTAAACAATGTGGCCAGGATCACCCAGCAAGGCCAGGATCCGTACCAGCTGCATCAGGGTCTGGGACTGGCACTTTGAGAGCATCATGCTTCGCCTCCTCCCAAAATCCAGTGGGTTTGAGGGCTGCATAAAGCACACTTCAGCCAGAAGGAATGTCCCCTTCAGTGGCTGCTCCAGGCCACAAGATGCACCCTCCCCCTGCCACACACCGAGCCACAGAGGGTCATTCAGGAAACCACTCCTGATCTTTGCCATGTGGCAAAGACATTAAAGTCAGTGGGGTGGCCAGCAGGCCAGGAATAACAGAGGCATTTGCTGAGGCTCTTGGCTGGGATCTTGGGTTGGGGTGGACGGGTATGAGATGTGGCTCAGTGGGACCCCACCAGGGCAGTACCTACATGATAGCACGCTTGCCGCAAGACTCATGGTTCTGTTCATAGCGGAACAGGTTGGCCACAGGGATCCTCGAGGTCATCTTGTTGCAGGTGATGCGACATTTCTTCACTCCATGGTGCTGTCCTGAGTCCACAGAAGTACCCAATCAGCAGAACTGTCCATGGACAAGCCAGCTTCCTGGCCCCATGCCTACTTGTCCCAGACACACCCTTCAAGCCAGAACCAATACTCTGCACACTTGGCCTTTGAGGCACTGGTCTCAGGCCTACTATCACTAAACCTCTTATGCCTCAGTTTCCCTGCCTATAAAATAGGGCAAAAATAGATCTACCTCTTAAGGTTGTTGTGAGAATTTATGAAAATGAGTTCTTACAATAAAGTTCTTACTGCCTGGCATGAAGGAAGTGCTGGAGTTGGTCTGTTGTACAGAGGGCAGATGTAAGAATGGCTGGGATCTGTCTAAAGTCTCACAGCCAGCAAGAGATCAATAGTCTCTCTGCCAGGCCTGGCTTCAGTCCCCCCATAGCCTGCACATTCCCCTCCCCCTCCCCTGCCTTTTCCCAAAACACCTCACTTGCTCAACTATCATCACTCCTTCTACCCCACCCCTCCTACATTTACCCCTCCTCGCCTCACCTCTCCTGCCCTCACCCTTCCTACATACCCACACACTCCCTCTGTCTGCCTCTCAGACTGCCATGTATTCCTGGATTCTTCTGGACCTCAGAGACATACCCAGACATACACCATGACCTGTGTGCACACACACACACATGCCAACAAACACAATGGCAAAGACATATACCCCTCACACAAAAACACATAAGGGCATACAAACAGCAGCAACATGTAGCAGATAATAACATTTTAAAATGTGTAAGTATAACTGCCTTCTAAGGAAGGTGGAGTCTATGGAATAGAGGATCCTTTGTTCTGCCATTAAGAGCAAGGAACTGAATTGTCCGGCGTAAGAGGGAGAGAAGACTTTGGAGTCCCCAGGCAAGCTGAGGGGAGGAGGAGTGGAGATGGGTGTGCGTGCCCAGGCCATGGGCAGGGTGGCATGGGCAGGGACATGCAGATGGCTGGGTCCCACTTGGAGCCAAGAGAAACTCCAGAATGGGATGAGGCTGGCTAAAAGGACAATAAAGGACTCAAACAGTTGATACAATGTCTGGCACAAACACTTGAGATTGTTTGTGTTGCATTTCCACCTCCTCTCTTCTCTAAAATCTCCAGCAAAACTCTCTCTCTGCTTAGTGTTAAGTCGGGTACGGGGGGTATAGGAAATGAGGAGCCTGAGATTCAGAAATGGGTCAAGGTTGTGTTCAGCAGAAGTAAGACCCCGAGGGTTTTGCAATGACCTAGTGGCCAGAACTTCCAGGGTAGCAGACTCGAGGGCCCAAGCTGACTTTATCTAGCTCTTTGGGGCCTGGGGACCCGACTCATCCCTGTATCTCACCAGAACACACATTGCTCACGCACAAATACTTACACATACACGGATGTGCAAACACACTCCACCTTCCCAGATACAGACACAAACATGCACACACCTTCGAACACCTGCTGCCTCCCCTCCCCATCGCTCCCTCAGCCTGGGCCCACTGCCTATAGGAAGTATGGCTGAAGGTCTACAGGGCCGGCCTGGTGGTGGAGGTGAGGCTGGGTCATCAAAGGTTGGTCCCAGTAGCTCCTGGGTGGGCAGGAGAGGCTCCCAGTGGCTGGTCCCCAAATCACGGCCTGCCCTTTGCTGAGGAAAGTCTGAGGAAGCAGGATGTGAAAGTTGTGCTGCAGTCTTGTCACTCTCCTTCTCCCCCTGCGGGGCCTCAGCATGACTCAGCTGCAGCCTCCGGCCCTGCTGAGTTGAGCTGGGTGGCAGTCCCCTGGCCTGCCTGGCGTGGCAGGTGTTTCTGGGAAAGCCCCAGAAAAACAATGCCCTGGGAAACCTGGCGCTGGGAAGAGGCAGGGAGGCTGCCAGCAGGCAGGAAGCGAGGCTCATCCACGACCCCCTCTAATGGGGACGGCTACAAAGTCATCAGGTTCCACAGTCCCCACGCTCTGCCCTGGTGCCTGGGTGCCCCTGGGGAGGCTTCATTCTTCGTTCTGCCTGGGTAGCTTGTGTAATTTACCTAGAAGAGGCCTTCCCTTCACCGAGCTGAAGTTTTCTATTATCTGTCATGTTTGAACTCCTCAAACATGAGTATCAGGAGGGTGGAGACCACCTTTTTCTCGGAGTCACAATGTTCTCCAGCATCAGGCCCAAGGAAGATACTCAATAAATATTCATTGAATGAATTAAATTTCTGTGTACTTATCCCTCCCTCATCCATCCATCCACTTAGCTACTGCCACTAGTCAGTGTCTTACTCATCCCCCACCTCCTACCTACCCACTCCTCACCATTCCCTATATCCATCTATCCACCCACCCCTGACTCACCCCTCTACCTCCTGTACATCCCTACCCGTCATCCCCCCACTTTCATCTACCTAGCCATCCATGCTTCAACTGCACACTTATCCATCCGGCGATCCATTCATTCATCTAGCCATTTTCTGATTCAGCAAACGCTTGTCTGCATGACTTCTGAGAAAATACAAAGACCCAAGCCCCTTTGTCCTTAGCCCAGAGCTTATTCTCCCACAGATGCTGGGGCTGAGCTGGGAGAGAGCACCTCAAGCCAATAAATGATATCAGATTGCCACGTGTATTCAGTCAATCAACAAATGCTGATCTCTCCCCAGTGCCAGGCCTGGTGCTGGATGCTGTGAGTCCTAGCTAGGTGAACAATGCCTATCTCTAACTATAGAGGACTCCCAGTCTGATGGGCAGCTAAGACATGCTCACGTTTTTCTATGTTGAGCACCTACTGTGTGCCAGACCCTGTGCTCAGCACACATGCACATTTGCTCTCCTGAATCCCCAAGTTCCCCGCCAAGGGGATATCATTATCCCCATCTCACAGATGCAGAAGCTGAGGCCTCGAGAGGTTAAATGATTTGCTCCAGCCCACACAGGTGTGTAGCATCAGAGCTGGTTTTCCACCCCAGCTCCTATACGGCCATCTTTAACACCAGGTAGAAATGTCATGCTCCAGAACATACCCCAAATGTGCAGAAGTTTACAAGAGGGAGTAAACCACTAACCGCAAGTGATCAGGGGAGGCTTCTTAGAGGAGGTGTCCTTTAGACTAAACTTCAAGGACTGCTAAGAGGCTATTGGGCAGGAATGGTTTAGGTGGGGTGTTAGAGAGCCATTGATCTGCTGTGTGCTCCTGGGCCAGTCACTTAAGACTCTCTGAGCCTCAGTTCCCTTACCTGTAAAAGGGAAATGATAATAACTGCTTCATAGGGTGTTTGTAAGAATAAAAGCTGAAAGTGTTTGATGCACTCTTCCCTTAGAGCACAGTTTCTCAATTTGGACCAAAAAATTCTTTGACATTTTGGACCAGAGAATTCTTTGTTGTGGTGGGCTGTCTTTTAGGATGTTTAGCAGTGTCCCTGGCCTCTACTCACTAGATGCCAGCAGCATTAATTTCACATCCAAAAGTGTTGTGACATTTGTAACAACCGAAAATGCCTCCAGACATTACCCAATGTCCCTTGGGGGGCAAAATCTCCTTTGAGGACCACTACCCTAAGATATCCACATGGCTCACTCCCTCACCTCCCTCAAGGTTGTTAAATACCTCCTTCTAAGTCAGGCTTCCTGACCCCATATTTAAAATTTCAACACCTCTTCCCCTTCCTTGCTCACTCTCATGTTTTCTCTCTCTGTATATATATCTACATATACCTATACACAGTTATGGATTGAATTATGCCCCCCTCCCCAAATATGTGTCGTAAATTCTAAGGTCTATGCCTGTGGTTATAATCCCAGTTGGGACTGGGTTGTCTTTGTTATGTTAATGAGAATTGATTAGTGTTGGGTGTTTCATGAATCAATCTCTTGAGACAGAAAAGACATTAAAGAAGAAGCAAGAGACATGGGGAAAGAGAGATGGCAAGTCACATGACCATCGCCTAGAAGCAGACGTGAAAAGAGACAAGGCCCTTCCTGGAGAGCTGACAGAGAAAGCCTTCCCCTAGAGCTGGCACCCTGAAATTCACACTCCCAGCCTCCTAAACCAGGAGACAATTCATTTCTGTCTGTTAAAGCCACTTGTGGTCTTTCTGTTGCCACAGCACTAGACAACTGAGATACCCAGATACAGAGATGTTGCTGTTGTTGTTGTGTGCCATCGAGTCGGCCCCGACCCCTCCTTGGGTTGCTGAGGCGGTATCACTGCAGAAGTAGATTGCCCAACCTTCCTTCCGAGGAGTGGCTAGTGGGTTTGAACCGCCAGCCTTCTGGTTAGCAGTCAA